GCCTAAGGTTCAGACAAGCCGTTTTAAATCAATTTTTATTAATAGATGTCTTTTAAATAGTAATTAATACCTTTTCTTTTTCCTTATTCATTCTCTTCATGTTAATTGTTGCACGTCTGTTTGCACAATAATTCTTAATAAAGACCTTTATTATTATTATTATTATTATTATTATTATTGTTATTGGTTGACGCTACTAGACTGTAAATTAAGAGTTTTTAGCTTGCTAACATTGCGTTATTTCAAAGACGTCTCGGTCAGTGACTACTTGTTTGGGATTTCAGGATGTCGGCGGATTTCAGTGAGTTTGATTATGGTCCACAATTTACAAGTCCAGTCCGTCTTTTAGTATTTCCAGTCATTGATTTTCCCATCAGTCATCCATCTCACTGTTGCTGACGTCACGTATTATTTCCAACATGGCGGTCGCCGTGTCAATGTTTCGGTGGTTGGATCTGTTAGAAAAAGAATTCGACAAGACTTTTGTGGATTTAGATATTTTGCTAGGAGAGATTGATCCTGATCAAAGTGAAATAACTTATGATGGTAGGCAGAAAATGACTCAGCTTTCCTCTACTTTCGCACAGCTCGTTCACAAAGCGCAGACAATTTTTCAGGGAAATGCCAAATTAGAGGTACGGTGAGTTTTTTATTTAAAATATTACGAGGGTGACTTTCACGTTAACTGTTATAATTTTCTTTTTCAGTTCAAGATTGAAAATTTATTCTTAAATTTAAACGTTGAATAGATAACACACGGTGAATGGAAATAATCTGGTCATTTAAAAGGTCAAATTATGTTTTTCTCCAAGGAACTATTTATTATGCCTAGAATAACGCTGTGTCGCCATTTACTATTGTTATTACTACTATTATTATTTTAAATTCATTGTAAAAAATAAGGAGATCAAAAGATCAAAGATCAAAGCTTTGAATGGAAACAGGGGAAACTCTTCTCAGTGTTCACGCTATACTCTCTTTTTCCTATTTAAAGTTTTTCATTAATTTATTTGTTGTCATAGTGGAGGGTGACACACTTCTAGGGTTACTGGTAGGTTATTCTGAAATTGTTAGAAGGCAGTTGTGGTCAGTGATCCAAATATATAGAAAATGGCTCTTGTGAAAAAAAAATCACTTAAATGTAGTTTTTTTTCTCACCTACATGTAAAGATATCACCCAGGGAAATGATTCAGTGATGCCGATGGAATTTTGCCTTATTAGTTTTCTTATTTCACATCTTATTTTATGAAATAAACAATTTATACAAAAATGAAGACTTTTTGGGTTAGGGAATCTTAAGTGTGATAGGTGAAATCTCTCATAAACAGAATGAATTGTTCCAGGTGATTAATTTCAGTTGGTGGCAGCATACAATCTTTCCAGTTATTTAACGTTTTGATTATCCCATGTGCATTTATGGGTTTATGGGCTTGTATTCCATGCTGTGTTTATATACATTTTTTCTGATCACGAGTTAAATAAAAGGAGATTTTTGACCACAATTGACATGAATGTTCTGAACTTGAAAAGCAAAATTNCCAGGGAAATGATTCAGTGATGCCGATGGAATTTTGCCTTATTAGTTTTCTTATTTGACATCTTATTTTATGAAATAAACAATTTATACAAAAATTATAATGTTAATTATACCAGCACTAAAATAATGATGATAATTTATGAGTCGGTTTTTTTTTTATATTTGTGCATAAGTCCTTTTTTGTGGTGCATTTTATCTTTTTCCCCTTTTTAAGATCAGGACTCTAAGGAGACAAAACAAGGATGACACTATTTTTTTATTTAATTACATCATGTCAAAAAAATATTGCTCTTTTAGTGATGCAGTATCTCATTAGGTAGGATTTGGTTTTTTAATAAACTTGTTTTATATAATAATGGCATACTTTGGACCAACAATGTGGTAAGGTGTTGATCATAACTTTGTGCTTTGCAGGCAGAATTAGTAGCTCTCAGACATGATCTGGTTGAAGAAAAAGCTGCAAAACAAGTCTTGGAGAAAGAAGTCAATAATTTATTGCTACAGCTACATGCAGTTCAACTTCAGCTACATTCCAATACTGGAATGCCGCTAGATTCTGAAAATATCAAGAACAAACTAGTAAGTGACGAACAGTAAAGTTCTTTGAAGTTTTTTCATTTTCTTTGAACATGGTAAAGTGCTAGGAAATTCAACAATGTGAACTGATTTTCTGCTCTTTTTACATGTATATAGTGGTAGTTGTGTCAATATTGGGGTTATGTACAGTGTACATGGTTTTTTGCATGTTCATGCCTGCGAAATTAGACTTTTAAAAACTTGGCTGAGTATTTAGCACCATAGTCTTCTGTTGTTGTGCAATACACTGGAAAATGCTGTTTATGTTTGACAAGTCAGCACATAAGATCATTTTTTGTCTGCTTTGTTCTCTTATCATCTCATTCTTCGAAATCTCTCTATCTTCTTTGTTTTTTCATACTTCTGTCAGTTTATAATAGTACATGCTTCAATAATCAAAGTTTAGGCTTGCTTTTGCTTCTCACTGTACTTTGACCCTCAGTTTCAAGGACTGTAAAGGAAAAGGGATTCCATTTAATAGTTTTGAGAAAAGTCCATGTTTTCTTGTGGAGTTTTGTTCACCATAATGAACTTTTGTATTTGTAGGAAAATGAAATGAGTGTATACAAAAACAATGCCATGAAGGAGGCTCGCATGGACTGCCAAATAAAACAGTTGGAAAAAGAAAACACAGGTCTTAGGAACCATGTGTTTTCACTGCAAGGAGAAGTATATGGAGCAAGACTAGCTGCCAAGTACCTTGACAAAGAATTAGCTGGAAGGTACCTTTACTTTTAGAAGAATAATTTGAAAAAAAGAAAAAATGACAGTGAGAAAAATAGTGCTCTCCACTGGCTTGATGTTTGTGAAGTGCAGGGTACATTAATGAAACAAAAAAGTAAAATTCTTGTCCCAATATGACTAACTGTACTCAAGAAATGCTAATTAAACTGGGGAGAAAATGATAGATAAAGGCAGTCCCTGGCTGGAATACAGTAGATGGTGGCAAAATGTTTGCTTGGGCCCTTTGGCCACTTGTCTATTTCCAGTCTGTCAATTTTATTTATGTTTGGCTGCTAAAAGATCTCGGGAGAACACTGGAAAAAAGCTTCAAGTGATCTCTGATTAAACAATAGTTTCTTCTTTCAAGCTGTCTTGTGCCCAACCATGCAAAAATTTACAGAGTCTGTGTTAGATTTTGAATCACTATTGGCATTTTATTTTTGACCTGTACGGTACCTAAATGGCCTAATGTATTACATATATCTTATTAACCATGTGCGAGGGCCGTACTGGGAGATTATTGGCCCGAGGTCTTGACAGTACGGACCGAGCGCAGCGAGGTCCGTACAAAAAAGACCGAGGGCCGATATTCTTCCAGTATGGTCCCGAGCAAGCTTGGTTAATAAGAGATCTATTATACGACTGAAGTTCAAAGGGACACAAGTGCAGTATCATTCGGGACAGTGCCCGGTCCAATACTTAGAGAATATTGGACCGGAAATAGAGCATTTTCATTGGTTGATTTTAGTTATTGGCCCTCTGACTGCCCGAGTCGTGTAATAAAGACCTTTATAGGAAGTGCTACATACTATGCTTAAGTTTCTTCAAAGAACCATTTTTCAGTGCAATTGATAAGCATTCTACCTTTGCCCCTGTGCAACTAATCAGTATTCAAACTGGAGTTCAGTTTGCTGCATTGTAACTCTCAGGAATTATTGAAAATAATTAATCAGGCGTTATTTCCACTACTACATATTAAGTACAGTTTATTATTGCAAGGATCACGTCCATACATTTCATGAAACTGCAGTACACATAGAAACTGTTTGGGGCTGCGTGGGTGGGGGTAACGAAATAATTTGGATATATTAACAAAGTTGAAATGGTAAATTGGCCACCATAACGATAACAAAAAGCTGATGTTTCGAGCGTTAGCCCTTCGCTCCAACAAAGGGCTAACGGTTGAAATGTCAGCTTTTGTTATCGTTACGTTGGCCAATTTACCATTTCAACTTAGTTTGTTGATATATCCAAATTATTGCAGTACACATATATGATTCTCATATTTTCAAATTTCATTGATTTATATCACTTAGATGGATTTAATATGAACCATTGTAATGACCAGCTCCTAGTTGGCTGATTAGCTCAGTTGGTAGAGTGCTGCACTGGTATTGGAGAGGTCATAGGTTCAAATACTGCACAGGCCTGAATTTTTTCCGGGCTTTTTTTCCACCACTACATATTTAAGTAGAGTTTATTACTGCGAGGATTACTTTCATATATTATGTTCTCTTCTCATCAAAGAATACAACAAATTCAGTTGCTTGGGCGTGACATGAGAGGGAGTGAACATGATCAGCTGTGGAACCAAATTGAAGCAGAAATTCACTTACACAGGCACAAAACTGTGATCAGAGCTTGCCGAGGACGCAAGGACCCCAATAACAAGGCCCCAGCACCACCACCACCACCTCCGGAACCACAAGCCATAGAAGATGAAGACGATTCTGATTGTAAAGCACGAAAGAGGAGAGGAATTGGTGAACCCAGGACTGTAGTGATTCAAAAGAGCAAAACAGAAGGGCTCGGAATATCCATTACGGTAAGGAAGGCTTTTTATTTTGTTTTATGAAGGTGTCACTGTGTGTAGAACCATTTCCTCCTTTTTGACTTTCAAAATTAAGTTTCAGACCCTTTTGCTCCCAATGCAAAATTCAAATGATAATTCTCTCCTTTAAGTGCTCCATATTTTAAGTTAGTCCAGAGAACTGGGTGAGACATCAAGAAAGGTTTGTTGATTCTGTTTAAGTGATCTTGTAAGGAGTACTGTACCAGTTACGTCAGGGATTTTAAGGACTAAACTAAGAACACCTTTCCATTGGGTTTGAGGGCACCAAACCCATGTAAATTAACACATAAAATTTGTATTGATTAATTAACACAATTTTCTGCAATTGATGGTCTAGTTCACCCATTAAGACATGTGGTAAGTATTTGTTTAAAAAAAAAAAAGCGGTACTTATAAATTTCGAGTTCATCTCACTGTGTTTTGAAAGTAATGAAAATGTTTTTAGAATGTGGTGGGTTTTTCCCATCAGAAGAAATTGGGTGGAACAGTTTGCTGGGTAGAACTCAAATTTAACAAAGCTGAGTAGAAGTCGACCAGGTGCAGTTTCACTTTGATCTGTGCCTTAACTCTTTAACTTCTAAGATCTGATTGTTATTTCTCACCTCTACCTGCTACACATTTCCTTGTCAATTAGTTAGGTGAATTCGGTGTTAAGATAACACTTTAACCAGATAAGTCTGAGTATTCTCGTTACCTGTTTACTGGATAATGTACAGATATCATGCGGACAAATTACATGTTAATCACTTCTGGGAGTTAAAGGGTTAAGAAAGTGAAGTCTGCAGTCGAGCCAAGTGGCCCATCTTACAGCTTGAGCTTATCCCGATTTCTGTGGCTTGAAGCAGCTAGGAGTATTATTTCTCCCCTTGGATGTGATGCCAGTCCATTATAAGGTGCCCCCC